CTGGGACAGGAAGATCCCCTGGAGGAGGAAATGGCGACCCACTCCAGTGTTCTTGCCTGGAGAGTCCCATGGACAGAGGAGCCTAGTGGGCTACAGTCCAGGGGCTTGCAGGGTCGGACACAGCTGAGCACGCACGCATGCACAAAGACTGTAGACTACCAAAGTCCACGCTGCCTCCATTAAGAAGCCAAACAATTCCACAACTCCAGTACCAAGGGGACAATTCTAAATTGCTTCCATTTTTTACTTGGGGCCCATCAAGAAAGGCTTGGGTTTTCATTACCTGGATGCTCTCTCCAAATGTTCAGTTCAGTCGCTCAGTCATATCCAACTCTTTGCGACCCCATGAACCACAGCATGCCAGGCCTCCCTGTCCATCACCAACTCCCAGAGTCCACTCAAATCCATGTCCATTGAGTCAGTGATGCCATCCAACCATCTCACCCTCTGTGGTCCCCTTCTCCTCCTGCCAAATGTTGTTACCTGCAGCCCAAGGCACTTCCTTGTGCATGGGCAGGACGGGGTGGCTTGGGAGGGGTGAGGGGCTGGGAGGGGACAGCATGGAGTCACAAGCTCCTGGATCATCCTCCCTGGCTGAGGAGTGATCCCAGGGGAGGGGGAGGGAGTAAGAGAAAGATGCTAGGCCAGTGGCTTTGAAGATGGAGGAAGAAGCCAAAAGCCAAGGAAGTAATGCAGGAAGCTTCTAGAAGCTGGAAAAGGCAAGGGAATGGAACTTCCCCTGGAATCTCCGGAAGGAACACAGTACTGACACCTTGATTTTAGTCCAGTGAAACCCATTTCCGGCTTCTGACCCCCCCAGATGGCAAATGTGTGCTCATTTTAAGCCACTAAGTTCGTAGTAATTTGTTACAGCAGCAACTGGAAACGAAAACACTCATCTAGAGTCAGTTACCTGCAGACATTAAAATACTCTCAAAGACATCTCACATTTTTAACCTCACTGACCAGCTCCCACAAGAGGAGCGGCAGATGTGACCTGGAGTGGAAACTCCGCTTTCCCGGCTCCTGTAGGTACACGTCCTTCTATTCTCCCAACCCCACAGCTGGACCCCAACAGGGCAAGTCCTCCAAGGAGTGGAAAATCACAGGTCTCCCACCAGGACCCCAACCCAGGAGCAGAAAGCACTGCTATTTTCCAGAAGCCCCTCGGCCTTGTGACAACTGCTCAGCAAGGCCAGGTGGTACACTGCTTAAGACAGAGCTCTGGAGCCATGCAGCCTGGGTTCAAATCCTGCTTCCCCACTCATAGCTGTGCGACGCTGGACAACTCACTCAACTTCTCTGTGTCTCGGTTCCCGCCTTTATAAAACGAGGAAGGGGTCAGCAAACTATAAAGGGCTAACTGTTTCCCCCTCTGTGGGCCAGATGTTCTCTACTGAAACCATTTAACTCTGACTGATCATGTGAAAGCATCAGCCGTAGTAACAAACAGGCATGACTGCATTCCAATAAAGCTGTACTTAACGGACACTGAGCTTTGAATTGTCATGCGTCACAAAATAATGTTCTTTCAAAAATTTTTTTTGATCATTTGAAAATATAAAAACAGTTCTCAAGAACTTCTCTGGTGGCCCAGTGGTTAAGAACCTGCCTGCTAACACTGGGGACATGGGTTCAATCCCTGGTCCAGGAAGATTCCACACACCACATGGGGCAGCTGAGCCCGTGAGCCACACTGCTGAGCTCACGAGCTCTAGATCTGCCCCAGATCTAGATCTAGATCTAGATCTCTGCTCTAGATCGAGAGAGAAGCCACGGCAGTGAGAAGCCTGCGCCCCTCAACGAGAGAGTAGCCCTCCCTCAGCACAATGAGAGAAAGCCTGTGTCCAGCAACAAAGACCCAGCTCAGCCAAAACTTAATTATTTCATCAAAATACATAAAAAACATTCCCAGCTCTTGGACTGGACAACACCCAGCAGTGGACCTGATTTGACCTGCGGGCTGAACTTTGCCAGCTCCTGAAATGAAGGGCTAAATGAGCTAAACCATGTGCTTCAAACAGTGCCTGGTACACACTCAGAGCTCGGTAACACAAGCATTGATTACTATTTTTTTCAGAGGTGAAAATTGAGCGTAGAGATAAAGAGCTCTCTGTACCTGTTAGCTTGTTCCCCTCGGGGCCGCGAGAGTCAGCCCAAAATGTCCAGTCTCTCTGTCAGATCTGTGGAGATTTTTTTTTTTCAGACTCCTTCCTCCGAAAAGCAGCATCCTGGAATTACTGGGCCCTGGTAATCTGATGCCAAACAAGTCTCTGGCCCTCTGAGGTCACACTTGGAAGGATGAGGGCATTGAGCACTGGGTGCCTGAGTCCTATTTCCCCCCCACCACCAACAAAAAATCTTAATTTGGACCCTTTCCCAAAGCTACCACCATCATCTCCCCCAGTGGCTTTGCCAGCCTGCTCCCTGCCTCCGCCCCTTCCAGTTGATTCTCCCACTGCAGCCAGTGGGATCCTTGTAAAAACGGAAATCAGATCATGTCCCTCCTGGGGTCTGCCCTGACAGTCCAGTGGTTAAAACTCCACGCTTCCCCCTCAGGGAACATGGGTTCAACCCCTGGTCAAGGACCTAAGACCCTGCATGGCACACAGTGTGGCCAAAAAACTAACAACAATCAACAACAACAACAAAACCAGATCATATCCCTGCTGTGTTCTAAATGCTAGCAAGTCTCCCATCTTGTGCCTAGGAATGGACCCACTTTGCACAGTGGTCCACAAAGTGAAAGTGAAGTCGCTCAGTCCTGTCCGACTCTTTGTGACCTCATGGACTGTAGCCTACCAGGCTCCTCCGTCCATGGCATTTCCCAGGCAAGAATATTGGAGTGGGTTGCCATTTCCTTCTCCAGTGGTCCACAAAGCCCCAGGCAATCTGGCTTCCCTCTCCTGTTTCCTCGTCATCCTTCACCCCCCAGGTCACTGTTCTAGCCAATTTGGCCTCCCAAAGTTTGTGACATGACATGGCCTTCTGCTCCTGCCTCAGGGCCTTTGCATGTGCTGTTCTGCTATATATTTGCAAAGTTTCAAACCTCCCTCTGTACACAGAAAGGCCTGTCCCACCAGCCCAAGGCAAAGCGGTCACCTCTCTCCATCTCACTCCATCACATCCCTACCCTGTTTTGTGATTCTCGTCGTTCAGTGAAATCCTGTGGATTTACCTGACCTGTGAGCCTGTTTCTCATGTGTGTCCCCAACTAGAAATACAAGCTCCATGAGGGCAGGAACTGAGTGATTTACTCCTCACATGTAGCACAGTTCCTGGCACATAATAGGTGCTCAATAAATATTTGTGGAATGAGTGACTACATAAAAGGACCTAGGTGAGGAGTGGGTGGCCTTTCCCAGCCTGCAGGCTCCCTGGCCAGAGGCTGGCAGGACTCCCAAAAGGCCAGCCGCCTGTGTAGTCCTGGGAGGCGGTAAGCCAAAGATGGAGGATCTGGATTCAGTCATGAGTCCACGTCCTGGCTCTGCAAATTCCCTCATGGCCAACTTCCCCTCCCTCAACCTCAGCATCCTCATGGGCAGCACAGAAATCATCAGACTCATCTCGGGGGTTTGAGGGCAGGATTTGGTGAGCACTGCACAGCGCTGGCTGAAGAGCTCAATAACTCAGAGAGATTATCTGACCCAAGCCACAGATAACCCCCATTTTCCTGCCTCCAAGAGGCAGCAGTCAATTTTATAACCTACAGTAACCGCAAATCACTTTCCCATCTGTAAAATAGGCATAATTACCTGTTTGCCTGGTTCAAACAAGGGGCATGAAGGTACTCTGAGGCCCCATAAAGTTGGCGTGGGTGCCAAACACACTCTCAGCTGTCCGTTCAGGTGGGGAGGAGTTTGTTACTCCGTTTGTCCTCCCATCGAAGAAAATATGAAGTGAGAATCCAGCTGCCCTGCCTTCAGATTTTCACTCTGGATCCACTGCAACCTCCCCTCCCCTTACAGACATCAGAACAGAATGATAAGAGTTCCCTGCAGCCGGTCTCCACCATCTGCATACCTCCCTGCCTCAGAAGGAAGCCTCCTTGCTCTCATCACCGCTTCTCCTTTGGTGCATCCAAGTCAAAGGCACTACCATCCCCCCACCCACCAAGACACTAAGGCCAGAAATCTGGAGCCATCTTTGACTCCTTTCTTCCACCACTTTGCCCCTCCATCCAAACCATCAGTACCTCCTGCTTGTTATGCTTCCGACATTACTCCAAGTCCTGCCACTTCTTTCCTCTCTTGCACAACCATCACCTGGGAAGCTGCCAGAGCTTTCCTGCTGGTCTCCCTGCTGCTACCCTCAATCCATTTTCTCCAGAGAAGCCAGAAACATTCTTTGAAGAAATAAATCAGATTCTGATAACTCCCTGCTGAAAACCTTCCATGGGCCCCCACTGTCATAAAATAAATCCCACCTCCTAGCTTCAGCTCCTAAGGTCTTTTGTAACCTGACCACCACCACATCTCCATCTTCATTCTGAACACTCTCCCCCATGACACCCTGTTCCAGCCACTCCGACCTCCTCACAGTTCCAGAGATCCACTAAGCTTGGTCCTAACTCAGGCCCTTTGCATATGCTTTTCTTTCCACCTAGAATGTTCTTCCTTCTGGTGTCTGTTACAAGTGGCTTCCTTTCTCCAGGCAGGGCTTGGCTTAAAAGGTCACTTCCTCCCAGAAGCCATGTGTGATCACCCAATCGGAAACAGTTGTAAATACTCCCTGTACCTCATAGCCTCCACTCTGCAATACCACTTCATCCTCTTCATCTGTAGAGCACCTAGCATCTTACTGCCTGAAATCTACAAGTTTATTCAGCCATCCTCCTAGGAAACTGCTCACTCCATCAGGGCAGGGACTTTTGTCCACAGTATATGTTCCCTGGCATATTCCAGGGCTCATTTCAGTGCTTGGGACAGTAGGTGCTCAGTAAATACCGGGTCACCTGAATGCGTTCCCACCTGATACCAGTGCCCTGGGTGGATACTCACGTCTACCACGCCGGTCTGGCTCACACCTGAGGCTGGAAACTGGGAGCTAACGCAGGCCCCTGCAGATGGGGCCCTGGCCCCGGACACTGTCTCCACCATTCGCAGCACACAGAGCAAAGTCAGGACCCAGTACACATTCAGCAGGCCTCCAGCCATCAGCCCCCAAGGGGCCCAGCCCTCACCCGATGCTTCCCCTTCTGCAGTGCTTCAGTTCCAAACAGCTGGCACCTCCAGTGGCCTGCTGGGTAGGAGCGAGAAAGGGACAGTGTCATGGAAGGCCAGACTGCAGGACCCAACAGGAGGGGCCTGAAGAATGCCCCTCCCCCATCTCCCTCCAAAGGAAAGCCATGCAGAAGCCACATTCTGGATGGGCCTGACTCATCTAGCAGGCAGAGTACATAGGCCTTCCTCCTGAGCCCCCAGTAGCGTTTCCATGGAAACCCAGGGCAATAACCGCCTCTGATGGGGAAATCAAGGCCCAGGGGGAAATGAATTGCTCAAAGTCAGACTGCCCGTTTACAGTAGAGCTGGGCCGGACTTTAGCATCTGTCTTTTCCCTCAACACTAGGGAAAAACCAGCTTAATTTTTCTCTCAAAGAAATTAAACTGGAAAGGGGAAAAAGAAAAAAAAAGTCCCTGGAATACTAGTTTTCTTCTTTTGGCTCTTCCACGTGTTGCTAATGAGCCTGTTTTGCCTTCAAGAAAAACAAAGCCCAGAGAACAAGGTTTCTCTTTTTTTTGTAAATCTTTGCTCAAAGTCCTGGTGGGGGAGGGGGTACCTGGGGGAAGGAAAAGTGGGCAGAGGGCCTGTCTCAGCACTCTTTCCTCACCTGTTGACAGGCTCTTCCCTCCTGCAGTTTTCTGTAACTGCACTTGGCACTGACTTGGAGCCGACACTCCAGGTCTGCAATACAGTCTTAGCCACCGGGGCGCTATGCGGCCTTAGGGCGGTCACTCCACGTCTCTGAGCTTCTGATTCTTCATCCGTAAAATGAAGACAAACGCTGGCGCGTCAGAATAAACAATAAGGGTTCATTTAACAAGGGCTCACGCCCTCAGGTGTTCCCAACTTAAGGATCAACACGAGTCTCCTCTCTATCGGCCGCCGATTTCTCGTGCTCACTCACAAGGGAGCATTTATTGAGCGCGACTGTGCGCTTGTCCGAGGCTAGACTTTCAGACGCTCCGAAGATCTGCAGACTTGATAGGGAGGAGCAGAGGCAGGAAATTGGGGTTACGATCACTTCTGCGGCTGCACTTTCTAGGTGCGAGACCCCGGGAACGTCCAAGTGCTCCGTTTCCCAATCCTGGCGGATGTTGAGCAGATGAACTCTGGGTGCGTGATCCTCCCGCCGCGCAGGCGGGCGGGGAGGCTCCTCTTACCTCCGGCCGGGCCTCGGACCCGCAAACTCCGTACCTCGACCCCGCAGGGCTTCGCGGCCTTTCCAGCCTCCGCCCGCAGGCCCGCGCCGCCCGACCTTCTGCCCCAGACGTCTCGGACTCGCGCCCCTCTCGGGCAGCCGCATCCGGGTCCGGTCCCCCGGATAGCCCCAGGCTCTGCCCCGGCTCTCCCCGCGCCGGCCACGCCCCTCATACAACCCCGCCCAGCGGACACGCCCCCAAAGGCTCGCCCCTTCCCTTAAAGGCACAGGTGCCCTGCGCGGTCCCTAGGGTCTTCCCCACTCTCCGTCCTGTTCTCAGTCACCTGCAGGTCGGTTCTGCTTTCGCTGAAAAAGCAGAAGCTGAGATGAAACTTCATGCATATAAACCATAGGAGGCCGGAGAGGAACTTTTATAGGGTGAAACTAGGGGGTTCTCTTCTCAAGGGAGAGGTGGGCGAGTCAGCGTCAAAATTCTTCTGGTAATCAATGGTGATAAGTATCTGAGAAGGTACAAGGTTGGTAAGATTCCTGGAGAAGGGAATGGCAACCCACTCCAGTATTCTTGCCTGGAGACTCCCATGGACAGAGGACCCTAGTGGGCTCGAGTCCATGGGATCACAAAGAGTCGGACACAACTGAGCAACTGACTCAGTGAACGCTCTGCCTTGCACACACAAACTCTGGCTGCCTTGCCTGAAATGCCTGTTTGTGAGATCTCCTAATTGGGTTCAGCGTTTCCATCTAGTAGGCTGGTCTTTAAAAGAAGAACATGGCGGGGAATTCCCCTGTAGTCCAGCGGTTAAGACTTTGCCCTTCCACTGCAGGGGTCACCGGTTCCATTCCTGGGTGGTAAACGAAGATCCTCACAGTAGGGCCAAAAAAGAAGAGGATGAATATGGCAAATAGGTCGAAACAGGTGACTGGTCTACTTGCCCTGAAGGCTCTAGTTCCCCCTCCCCAGTTTCCCAGCCTCCTTTCCTTCTGTTGGGGTGGGGTAATGAAGCGTTAGTCGCTCAGTCGTGTCCAACTCTTTGTGACCCCATGGACTATAGCCTGCCAGGCTCCTCTGTCCAGGGAATTCTCCAGGCAAGAATACTGAAGTGGGTTGTCATTCCCTTCTCCAGGGGATCTTCCTGATCCAGGAGTCCAGCCCTCTTCTCCTGCATTGCAGACAGATTCTTTACTGTCTGGGCCTCCAGGGAAACCCCTGGAGTGGGGCAGGGCACCGAAAGAGGGATCTGGGGGTTTCCTCCTCCAACAGCCTCCACCACCACAGGTACACACATCTCATCTCACCGCCTCCCTCTCCAAGTCTGTCCTGTCTCCTCATCACCTTGAGGACCAAGGCCGAACACTGAGCCCAGCGACCAGTCGAAACCCTTGGCCGTCTAGCCCGAGCTCCCTTTGCTGATTTCATCTTTTATCTCCATCTCCACTCCCTGGGTCGGGAAGATCCCCTGGAGAAGGAAATGGCAACCCACTCCAGTATTCTTGCCTGGAAAATCCCATGGACAGAGGAGCCTGGTAGGCTACAGTCCATGGGGCTGCAAAGAGTCCGACACGACTGAGTGACTTTACTTACTTTACCACCCTCTCCTGCTCTAGCCAGGGAAATAGGGGACTTAACAGTCGTCCACACCTCTGCTCCTTCAGAGCCGCCTGCCTGGGTTGCCAGCCCTTCCCTTGTCTCCCTGACAGACTCTTTCTTAGGTGCTAGACCCTGCTTGAGAGCCACCACCTCTGGGTGGTCTTTCATTCTCCTCCCTGCCCACCCCTCCCACCACCCTCATGTTCCTTGCCTTTAGAGCACTCTAGCTCCCCATCCTAGAGAGGATGACGTTGTGGTCTCGAGCATATCTTTGGAATCTCGGCCTGTAGATAATAGTGATTCACAGAGTACCCTTTCGTAGGTGACAGTGTCCTTGTGCTTGTCCCATTTAATAGCCCTGTGGATAGGGACAGAGGAAAGGGGCAAAGTAGGTGATTAAATAGTTAATCCTCTAGGGGATTGTAAGTAAAGAAAACAGTATGGGAGACTCCTGGAAGTTAACAATCACTCTAGAATGCAGGCTTGCTTAACCACAAAACCAAGCAGGTTTGTTTAGCAACAGAGCCAGGAATCACGGCCCCAAACAATAAAACAAAGGTGGCCTGAGCCCCACATCCTGCCTGGTGAGCTCAGAGTTAATGACCCCTAGGACATGCTCTCTGCACACGTAAAAAAACCAGTAATTTATGAAAGGTGACATTTCAAAGTAAAAGACCATCATTGTATTGAGACCTAAAGTAATTTTTCCATAATTCGGTAAGAGTCCTCCAGGGAAGGTAAGAAAACTCTCCTGCCCAACCTGGAGGAAGAGCTGATGATGGAAGCATGACCTCTACTCAAGAATGAAAAAGGTGGTGGTCTTTTTCTCCCTCCCCACTTTTGATTATAAAACTGTAGCCCGATAAGTTCTTGGGGTGCAGCACCCTCTCAGTTGCCTGAAAAAATCACCTCTTATCTATCACTTTGCCTCTCGATGAATTCTTTCTATGCTGAGACATAAAGGAGCCCCCCTGAAATTCCACCTAATGGTTTCACTGTGGGGTGAGGGCTACAGAGATCCCCGTTTCGCAGATGAGGGAAATCGAGGTTCAAGGAGATGAAGCAACCTGTCCCCAAGGCACCCAACAGGAAGTGGCAAAGCTTTGCACCTAGGTCTGAGTGACCCCAGGTGAGTTCCCTTCACCACAACGGACTGAATGTCCTGCATCACTCCACAGTAAGGCTAGATCTAACATTCAGCAGCTGTATTCAGAAGGCCCAGGGCCTGGGTGGTGTCAACTGAAAAAAACACAACCTTGGCATCTTGGTTTCACTGGGACCTTACTGAGGACAATAACCTCTCACATAGCTCTGAGGAATTGCTCCGAAGAGGTGGAGGAGAAGCCAGTATATATATAATCTTTTTAGACTGGAAAATACATGTAGTCAAGCATACATCTTGGTGAAAATTTATTAATGACAGAAATATAGACATCTCAAGTTAATGATTGTAGTGCTTTTCTAAAGCACTAAAATGGATGGGAAGATGCAAAAATCTGGGGTCATTGAAATCTTCCCTTAGTTATACATCTTAGCTTTCTGGGGGCCATAGATCCAAAACCCAGAATGCTCCCTCCTGTTTTTTCAACCCTAAATGCTCCGTAGGGTGCACTGCAGTGGGTCATGATTGAACCCTTTGCAGAACTGGAAGATGAGCCAGAGTCTGTTCTTTTTATCGACAGTGGCAGCTTCAGGAACAAAGCAAACGTTTGGGGAAAGTGTGAGCAGAAGTAATAGGCTCAGAGGGGAACTTAAAAGAGGAAAGAGAGAGAGAATTAGAGCTTCCAGTCTTTACTGAAGAGGCCCAAAGACTAAGAAGGTGCCTTAAGCCTACCTAAGTCTCACCTGCAACTAATGCAAGTTCTCTCTTGATCCTAGCAACCCTGGGCAAAGAGTCGTAGCACACCTACTTGAACTCCCCTGGGGACAGGGTGCTCATTACCTCCCACGGCAGCCCAGTAACCAGCAAACAGTACCAACTTCAAGGAAGTGTTTTCATTGTCATTGCCAGGAGTTTGCATGGGAATAATCCTTCTAGAATGGGACTTGGCCATTGATAAATGTCAATCTTGAGAGCCTTGAAAACACACGTGCCTCTTGTGCCTCAGTTGCTCCTGGAGCTTTTCTGAAGAGGAGACCATTTGGACAACACTCTAAGCCTGAGAATGTTTACTGGTCATCTTCATGCTTGTGCCAAGATTGAAAATATCCTAAATCTCCATCCGTGGTGGACTAAGGAAATAGTTGATGAATCTCCTGTGAAATACTGTTGTGTGGTCATTTAATACCCTGTTGTTCCTTTTTTTTTTTTTTTTTAAGAACAGAGGGATTTTATTTATTTTTACTCATTTATTTGGGTCTCGCTGAGTCTTCACACTGCACAGACTTCTCACCGGGGCAGCTCCTCTCGTTTCGGAGCATGGGCTCTAGGCACACGGGCAGCTGCAGCCCAGAGGCTCATTAGCTGTGGCTTGTGGGCCCTGCAGCTCACTGGCTCCGTAGTTGTGGTGCGCAGGCTTAGCTGCTCCGAGGCACGTGGAATCTTCCCGGACAAGGGATGGAACCCATGTTCCCTGCATTGGCAGGTGGATTCTTATCCACTATGCCCCCAGGGAAGTCCCTGTGGTGGTGGTTCTCCTTTTCCTCCTCTGCCTCCTTCAGAGAGATGAAATCTGCTTTTCTAGATCATGCATATCTTAGAAGCTTTTCTTCTAAGGAGCAAGCGTCTTTTAAACTCATGGAAGCAGTTTAGATTGCTCTGTGGTATCCGGAAGTCAGAAGAACTCTGAACTAATTGAGGGGAGAAGGGATGAGGCCAGAGATCAAGCCACCCCCAGGTCCTTGACTTCTCCTTGGCTGCTCCCCAACATCGTACTACAGAACCCCCTCCTGTTCCTGGAGAACATCCAGTTAATCGCCACCAAGATATTACAGATATATTCTGCTTCATCTCTCTATGGAGGCTTATAACTTATTTTTGCTTGCTTGCTTAGTTTTTAAAAATGTTTTATTGTGGACCGTGTTATATTTGCACAATGAGGCAAAACTTGCTTACAGTTTGTTGACTGAAATAAAAATGCACAACATTAAAGTTGTGTTAGGTTTTATAGTATTAAGTCCTCACTGAGGACTGTAGCCAGAGAGACAGCCTCTCAGATAGCTCTGAGGAACTGCTCCAAAGAGTTGGGAGGACTCAGAATATATATAAATTCTGTTGTTGTTCAGTGGCTAAGTCGTGTCTGACTCTTTGCGACCTCATGGACTGCAGCAGGCCAGGCTTCCCTGTTCTTCACTATCTTCCGGGGTTTGCTCAAACTCATGTTCGAGTCAGTGATGCCAACAAACCGTCTCATCCTCTGCCACCCCCTTCTCTTCCTGCCCTTAATCTTTCTTAGCATCAGGGTCTTTTCCAACTAGTCGGCTCTTCACATCGGTGGCCAAAGTACTGGAACTTCAGCATCAGTCCTTCCAAATAATATTCAGGGTTAATTTCCT